ACTACTACTACTACTACTACTACTACTACTACTACTACTACTACAAGTAGTTCCCGGGCAAGCCGGCGGCGGAAGTTTCCTATAAGAAGAAGAAGACCTATAGGAGTGTCCACGTTTTCTCCAACATGCGCGTCCTCCAGTCAAACGCACGCGCTCCGGACTTTTGACCCACGGGATTCCACGTGTGTAAGGTGCGTGTGCCCCCTGCGAGAGATGACACGCATCCGGCCACCACGACTTGCCAAGGATGCGGTCCACATCGACACACGTCCCACCGTGGCATTCTTCAGTGCCGGCAGGCCTTTCATACCACACATCAAAGCGCATGGAATCCGAATTGGCATGTAAAACCTGTCACGCATAAATGCAACCAAATACTGTCAGTATGAACTGCGCCCAAAACTTCAACCTTAAGTACAAACCGAACTGCTAACAAAACAATCAACTGCAACCAGTGTTGGGTTATGATGAGTGGTGTATGATGAGTGATGTATGATGAGTCTTGTATGATGAGGGGTGTATGACGAGTGGTGAATGATGAGTGGTGTATGACGAGTGGGACCCACGTGTGGAGTCCTTGTACATCCCCACGTCTCACATAGAGAAAGAATCGAGAGACGATCTCCGCATCAGCAACAAAAGCCATGAGTTACTGGGAAATTGTTCACACTAGCGCACCCTACTTTCGAACACCTGCGGCCAAGAGTATCCACAGCGTACTGACCTGGACTTGGACGGTATTCTTCAGTGGCGGCAAACCTTGCGTATCACAAATCGGACTGAATGGAATCCGAAATTTGAATGTAAAATCTGTCATGAACTCTGAGACGATGTATGATGAGTCTTGTATGATGAGGGGTGTATGACGAGTGATGAATGATGAGTGATGTATGTTGAGTGGTGTATGATGAGTGGTGAATGACGAGTGGTGTATGATGAGTGGTGTATGCTGAGTGGTGTATGATGAGTGGTGTCTTGACCAGCAGTTGAATGTCCTGTCCTGCATAACTGCAACCAAATACTATCAGTATGAACTGAACGTGCACGCCGCGAGAGATGACTCAGCAGCGAGAGATGACTCAGTCGTGAGAGATGACTCAGCCGCGAGAGGTGGCTATAGCGAGAGCTGACTCAGCAGCGAGAGATGAATGAGCAGCGAGAGATGACTCCTCCGCGTACTACACTGTTCGCCAGTACAACTCTAGTTGTACTACGAAGTCGCCAGTCCTCAGCTTCTAGCTGCACAGATTGCTCCGCGCGCTGAAGTTGTACTACAAAGTCGCCAGTTCTCATCGTCCAGCTTGCCAGATACTCCGCGTGCTAAAGTTGTTCTACAAAGTCGCCAGTTCTCAGCTTCCAGCTCCCCAGATACTCCGCGTACTAAAGTTGTTCTACAAAGTCGCCAGTTCTCAGCTTCCAGCTCTACAGATTGCTCCGCGTACTAAAGTTGTACTAGAAAGTCGCCAGTTCTCACCATCCAGCTCCACAGATACTCCGCGTACTAAAGTTGCACTGCAAAGTCGCCAGTTCTCAGCTTCCAGCTCTACAGATTGCTCCGTGGACTAAAGTTGTACTACGAAGTCGCCAGTTCTCAGCTTCTAGCTGCACAGATTGCTCCGCGTACTGAAGTTGTACTACACAGTCGCCAGTTCTCATCGTCCAGCTTGCCAGATACTCCGCGTACTAAAGTTGTACTACAATGTCGCCAGTTCTCAGCTTCCAGCTCTACAGATTGCTCCGCGTACTAAAGTTGTACTAGAAAGTCGCCAGTTCTCAGCTTCCAGCTCCACAGATACTCCGCGTGGTGGAGTTGTACTACCAGCTCGCCAGATACTCCGCGTACTAAAGTTGTACTACTTACAAAGTCGCCAGTTCTCAGCTTCCAGCTGTGCCTGCCACGAAATCTGCACATGGAGGTTCACAAAGTGCTGT